GGGGGCGCGGCGGGCAGAGCAGGCAGGTGCCACCCCGCTCCCTGGGTTTGTCAGGGAAAGCCCAGCCTGAGCTCAAAGCTTACTTCTAACTTCTCAACTCGTCTCTTTCTGGTTGTTTTCTAACACGAGCGAGACAATAATGCTGCAGAATCCAGTTTGACAGTTAGCACTTGGGCACGAGTGAGTGGTCCCATTAAATTCCTTAAACTAATGTGCATAAAAGTTGGTCGTCCTTTTGTTTGCTTATTTTTTTTCACCTCTGTAGATGCACAGTGTCTTTATGGTATCAGTGTGTGTTTGTTAAGTTGTTTGTGATAGAGATGAATAAAAGTTAAACCATTTCAAATGACTGAGCTTTCCAAAGAAGGGATTTTTGGCACTTTCTGGTTATGGAGTAGAACCTCTTTGAAAATGAGGTGTGATTGAAAAGGAGTACCCAGCTGTAGCCAGTTCTGCTCGAGTGCTTGAAAACCATTCCTGTGGACACTGGCTACCTTTCCTGCATTAGCAGCTCCCCGATTCCAGAGGGAGGCTGCGCACAGCATCCCACCAGTATTTGTTGAATGCAGCTACGGGCAGGGAGCAGCACCCGCAGGGATGTGCCGTGAGCCAGCAGTGACTGTGACGCCAGCTGTGCCCAAGGTCTGAACAGAGTGGCAAAGTTGGGGTGGTGGTAACAGGCTTCGTTAACAGCCCCAGACGAGGCAAGACGTTGAATGAAACCAGGTCTGGGGTCCATCCAGGAAGTCCTGTCAAGAGCAGCAGCAGATAGGGCCAGAGACAGGGCTGGTGGAGAGGCTAAGTGCGGGTCCAAGGTCTGTCCAGTAGACTGGGCAAGGGTGAGAGATAGATACACCTACAGCATCGCTCAGGGAAAGACAGGGGAGTCGGCGCTGGGTGCAAATGGTGCTTTTGGGGCAGGGGGTGGGGTCCCACCTGAGGTTGTTCAGGGCAGGTAAGGTCTGCTGGTACGCTCAGGGCCCGGACACTGCTTATACATCCCACAGTTGAATGGGAATGTTGACTGACTTCTAGGCGCTGTGCGTCATCAAGAAAAAGCATCCTTTAGAAGGCTGTTGATCTTCCTCTTTACTGAAAATCAGATATCTGATTATTTCTGTGGTTGGCTGGCAACATAGAAGGCTGTTTTGCAGAAGATCTCCTTTTGGCTTTCATGTTAGAAGATCTAGGTTCCCTCAGGGTACTCGGTGCTCCGCAGGATCAGCCTCCCTGTCCCCAAGAGCTGAGTTTTATCCACCAATGATCTTCTATTTATTTATTATCCAAAGTAGTAGCATCTTTTGTAATTGTGCAGTCATTAGGAATCCCCTGTCCAGCTCATGGATTTATGTCTCTTTAGTTTGGTGTTGGTTTTGTTGGGTTTTTGTTTGTTTGGGGTTTTTTTGAGGTATTCTTGTACCTTAAAGAGTGTTTCTCCCATTTTCCTCTTGTTTGAAGTACCATGTAACTTTTTTTTTTTGACTTGAGGAGGGCCTGGATGAACTGTTTTGGGTTTTTTCCCCTATGTTTACCATATGTGTATATATTCTTTATTCACTCGTATAGCCACGTATACCTATAAAACTTGAGCTTTTCTTGGTCTGATAATGTTATTAATGTGAGAAATTCACTTGGGGTCAAAATGTCCCTGTAATGCAGCACCCGAGAGATACAGGTAAGACAAAACCATAAACCTTTAATGTTTTTAGCAGATAGTATGTAAATCCACATCTGTTATCCACACATAACAAACCAACTGACCCCAAACACCCACTAAAAGCATCAAGGCCCTAGAGTTTGACAATGCAACAATCCACACTTGTTTTGGTCTAGCTGGTTTCAATTGTAAAAATATTTATCAAGTGGAAATAATGGATTTAAAGGCTGCCAGAATCTGTACCAGGCTATAAACATGTCAGTGTAAATTTTACTTTAGCACCTAGGGTATTCAGTTGGGTTTCTTGGTGGTGGCTCTGGGTAGAAGAGAGGGATCGTTAATCATGCTGGGAAGCATTTGGGCCTCTGTTGAATTCCTCGTTGCCCATCTGCTCGGTCTCTGCTTTGCACGAGCGAAGGACATAAACGGCCTGGCAAATCTCGGGCTTTCTGTGGCGTCACTGTAACAGGGAAATGAGTGTGTCAGAATGATGTTAGTTTGCGTTCACCAAAGTGTCGTCTCTAAAAGAAACCAGATACTTGATGCTAGGAAAAACCCCAAACCTTTGGCCGTTGTATGTTCTTTGACTTTTCAGAAGCAGCTCTGGCTGCTGGGCAGGTGGGGTTTGCATCATGTTTTCTTAAAAAGCAAGCCCCCGACCCCATGCTTTTAAACGTTAGACAACTGTGGAAACAGTTGGACCAGAGAAAACTTAAATGTCACTGCAGCCTCCCTGCAACAAGGGGGTTGGGTTTGGTAGAAGTAACCTTTCCTTTTGCAGCCTGCTTTTCTTCAAAACTAAACCATGAATTGGTCTACAAAACCTTTTTTCCCGTGCAGCGCTTCTCATACCAGAGGAACAGCAAAGGCTGTCCCAGTGTCATTACAACGACTCTTGTATTTGCTCCGGACTATAGCAAGACTAAGATTTTACTCCTGAGCCAGACAAGGTTTGCCTGTTCCTTGACTTATTCTCTACAGCTGCTCAGAGAGATGGCAACATTTTATTAAGTATTCATGGACTTTTTCTTTACTAAGTTGTTCCCAGTTCTGGTAGTACGCTCCAGTCTCGTTTGTGTGGCCGGTGCTTGTTCAGCACACAGAGGCAGCCAGAACTACGGGGCTGTGGAAAATGCTCGTCTTGCCGAAAGATCACTTCATTACAGTAAAAAAAATATTTTATTCCTTCCGGACTTTCTACTACCAAGGAGAAAAGTGAAAATGTAGTGCTAAGTATCTAAAATGTGTTTTCCAAACCCTTTCCAACAAAGTCATACTGCGATGTTATTGATACTTTTTAAAATGTTGTTTCTGAAGCAGTTGCTTTCATAAGGATCTTCAGAGCCAAGTTAAAATAATGTTAGTGGTGCAGCGTTGTTCTTGGCGTGTTCTTGAGTTTACTTACAACTCCAAAAATGTTGGGTGTTGTCTTTTTGTTTGTTAGGAGCAGCCTATTGGGACAGCTCTGTGTATACACTGAGACAAAGAAGGAGAAATGTAATTGAACGTCCCGATCTCTCATGTAGTTCTGCTCCTGCCTGCAGCGCGTTTTCATGTAATGCTTACACAGATGAGATTTTATTTGTAGGCATCCAGGGAGCGTGTAGGTAATGCTGATAAACTGTGCAAAAGGCTGTAAAGGTGTTCTCTATCTTTAGCGACGTGGAGAGCATGTCGAGTGGACACAGGAAAGAGTTTCAGTAAGAGAGGGCTCCTCAGTCAGCTTCTGAACGGAAGGAAAACGTCTGCCTTACAAATGGGCAAGAACTGGTGTCTGGAGCCCCTCGTGCTGTAGAGCTGATGGGAAACCACTGGTCCTTATCTAACTGCGACTTGGTTTTTGTCCTGAGTGATATTGCTAATTACGTTGTGGTCTTTCTCTTGGTGTAAACTATTTAAAGGGAAGAAATGATGTGTTACGTAGTCTGCAGAGGAAACAGCTGCGGCTCTCTGAATAACCAGGTGTTGTGTTTGACATTTCTTAGCGATTCAACATCTGGAACAGTTTTAAGGATTTTCTACAGTAATTAGAAAAGAGAAATCTGCTGCTTTCAACTTTTATTCGGCAGTGCTCATGGGACGTGTGTTTCTTTTTTTTTATGAACAAATTTTGGAGTAAATGAAGGGGGAAAACTGGAAATTCACAATAGTGATAGTGTGAGACCAGAATTTGGCTTGTAGTGCTTCAGTCAATATTAGTCCTGGCTTTCTGTTTCCCCAGCTGATCAGTGTGCCGGCAGTTCCTGCGCAGGCTGCAGGGAGCAGACGTGATCTCAGCCTCTGCTATAAGGTTTTGACTCCTGTTAAGAGTGTAAGTCTAAATTACTTCAGAAAAGTATTTTCTTTCTAATGTATTGATGCCATTGTAGATTCTGCTGTAAATTAGGCTGCAGATTCTCAGGATAAACATGTTATTTAGATTTCGCCGTTTTAGAGCACTTTTTCTCCTGGGTATTCCTAAATACCAGAGATTACTCAGTCTGTATGTACAGGTGGGGGAATGGAGGTACAGTGACTGTAAGGAGCAGATGCAAGGAGGGCGATGGAAGCTTCAGCCTTGGTGT